GTCTCAGTGTCTTGCAGCAATTGCTGCACGCACCTCTGAGAGAAGGCTGCTCTCGAGTTTCGGCCACTGCCAGACAGTCCAGTTTCTCCTCGAGTGAGTCTGGGTATCCAAAGTCTCACCTGGATCTGGATTTCAGTGCAGTTTGGAGGTTTTGTTTCCCTCCTGAATGAGAAAGCTAGCCATGCACTTGCAGCCAGCCCTCTCCACACGCCATGAGTAAGCCAGCCGAGCATTCAGCCATGGGCACAGGGGCAAGTCTTAGCCCATCTTTTGCGCCCCCTTCAAGCCCCGCTCGCCATGGCCCTGGGTCCTGTCTGCCAGCAGCCCCGCTCCTGCTCCCACATGCTGATGGCATCAGGCCACATGCACCTGGTGACAGCTCAGAGTGACTGGGATGGCACTAGCAGTGACTGTGAGTGGCAGTTCTGGTGTCAGCAGTAGGTGTGAGAGTCAGCTGCCAGTCCTGATCACTGCTCAGGAGCAGGGGGAGGTGGAGAAGCCCTGAAGGGCAATTGGGGCCAGCAGCCACAGCCCACAACCACTGATAGTGCTGAACGATCATGGACTGGCAGCAGTTGCGAGCAGTGGCTCTGATGCCAGTAGCAGGTGTGAATGGAGCTGGCACTGGCAGCAGGTGCAAGTGCAGGGCGGGGCCGCAGTCCATGGGAGCAGAGAATTTTCAGTAACCACCAGAGGCTCACTCCAATGACAGGGGCTGGCGCCCCGCCTCGGTCTGGCACTCCCACTCACCTGCTCCTCCGTCCTGATACAGCTGACATCCGTCATGTTCCACGCTCTGCCACCTGCTGCTCACGCCTACCATGTTCCGTGTGCACCTCTTAGTGGTCAGCACACGTTATAGTGACCAGTTGTTCGGTTGTTCTGCAGTTTGGTCTATGTGCATTTAGCCTTTTATTATATAGGATTATGTATACACCTTACACTAATGCAATGTTATATGTCAATTATAGCTAAAAATAAATAATAAACCATGGTGGGGAAAATAATTGATCTGACATGTGAGTGTCTGGGATAGAAAAATTAAGAAGTGAGAATATATGGCCCTGGCCAAGTGGATCATCAGTTGGTTGGAGGGTCATTACATACACCAAAAGGTTATGGTTCGATTCCCAGTCAGGGCACATACCTAGGTTGCAGGTTCTATTCCGGGTTAGGGTGTGTACAGGAGGCAACTGATCAATGTTTCTCTCTCATATTAATGTTTCTTTACTTTCCTCTCTCTCTAAAAAACATCAATAAAAACATATCCTCATATGAGGATTTAAAAAAAGAACAACTAAGAAAATAGATGATTCCCAAGTACATAAGAATCATAGTTTCATGGAATAATAAAAGTTGAAAAGATCTTCAGAAATTACTTAGTCTGATTTCTTTTAATATTCAAATGAGAAAACTGAAGCCTAGAAAAGCTAAGTAACTTTTTTCAACAAATACATTATCAGCCAGAGTCTCATAATAAAACTGTATAAAAATTTGTGGAATGAGTCTATCTTTGACTTCATATCATTTCTATCAAATCTCTGCATTCTATTTTTACAGTTTTTGCTGTAATATTTTGTTTAAAATTTGTTTCATATTACGTACCCACAATTAATTGTAAGTTTGAAAACACATTCCACAAGAAGTTTAAAAACACACTCTATAAGCAAATATAAGTATTTTTATTTTCTACCTTGTGTTATCTTAGCTTTACCCTTTCTCATTGTTAAGAATGTTATAGAATTTATTATCCAGTCGACCCATAATGGAACCTGTGGTGGAATCTAAAGTCAAGTTCATGTACTGGTGGCCTAGTGGTCAGTTACCTGGGTCTTGGTCAGTTACTGGGGTCTGGACCTGTGCCAGCAGTAACACCTAGAACGAATGGTTCAAAGTGCACCTTTAAGAATTTGAAGACAGCACCTCCATACCAAGAGCCCATCATCTGAATGCTTATTACTCTACTAGATGTCCAGAGCATAAAATCCGTATATGAGGGAGGGTGCCCCACAGCCCCGCCTGCATCCTCTCCAATCTGGGACCCCTTGATGGATGTCCAACTGCCCATTTAGGCCCAATCCTACCAGCCCTGGATTGTGATAGGGATGTCCAACTGCCCTTTTAGGCCCAATCTCGCCAGGATAGGGCTTAAACAGGCAGTTGAACATCCTTATCAAAATCCAGGACTACTGGCTTCCAACAGCTTGCCTGCTTGCCTTCCTGATTGCCCCTAACTGCTTCTGCCTGCCAATCTGATCACCCCCTAACCACTCCTCTGCCAGCCTGATTGATGCCTAACTGCTCTTCCCTGCAGGCCTGGGTCCCCCCAACTGCTCTTCCCAATAGGCCCGGTTGCCCCCAACTTCACTTCTCTGCTGGCTTGGTCACCCCTAACTGCCCTCCTCTAGAGGCCTGGTCCCTCCCAACTTCCCTCCCCTGCAGACCTGGTCACCCCTAACTGCTCTCCCCTGCAGGCCTGGGTCTCCCCCTCCCCCCAACTGTTCTTCCCAATAGGCCCGGTTGCCCCCAACTTCCCTTCTCTGCTGGCCTGGTCACCCCTAAATTCCCTCCTCTACAGGCTTGATTGCCCCCAACTGCCCTCCCTTGCAGGCCTGGTCCCCCCCAACTGCCCTCCCCTGCTGGTCTGATCACCCACAACTGCCATCCCTTGCAGGCCTGGTCTCTCCCTACTGTTCACCTCTGCTGGCCATCTTGTGGTGGCCATCTTGTGTCCACATGGGGACAGCCATCTTGTGTGTTGGAGTGGTGGTCAATTTGCATATTACTCTTTTATTAAATAGGATTTTCTTATGTAATTTAAAATACATTACAAGGAATTATGCAATTCTTAAAACTTTAGAGAATAGAAAATGATACAACTTTCCTTAGTAATATTTTTCATAGATAGCATTTGAAAATTGGATTTTAGATAACTTAATCCCACTAGCCACAATTTAAGGTCTTTTCTTTATTATTATGGTTTACAAAAAAGATAGGGAACTACCTGGAATCTTGTATGGTAGTAGTTTTCAAATATTTTTCAAGCCAAAAATCTTTTATTCAATAAAATCTTATCCTGAACCCAATGATGGGACAGATAAAGGTGGTGCTGGAGGGGCCCTGTCCACCCACCGCTGTTCCGCCTGGCAAGCGAAGCCCACTTTGGAAACTGCCTCTGTACCTGGTAAATATGCCTTTACATATGGATAGATGTTGGCTAAATCAGCCTTCTCCTGTTCAGGTTGTCTTGGTGAGCTAAATGTTTGAAAGCGCTTTCTGTAATATTTCAGAGGAAATAAAAGAGCTGTCAACTTGCAAATGTCCACAGGCTCCTTCCTGGTCAAGTATTAATACTAGAAATTTGTGCATTTGGGCCTCTAGTAATAAATAGGCCACCTCTAGTGGGAGATGGGCGTCCCTCAGCCTGCCATGTGCCCTCTGGTAGTCCGGGAGCCCTCAGAGGATGTCCGACTGACAGGTTGGGCCTATTAGTCAGACACCCTTAGCACTGCTGCAGAGGTGGGAGAGGCTTCTGCTGAGGCCTTCTTGCTGAGTAGCGCTCCCCCTATGGGAGCGCATTGACCATGAGGGGGCAGCTCCTGCATTGAGCATCTGCCCACTGGTGGTCAGTGTGTATCATAGCAACCAATTGTTCTGTTGTTTGGTCAATTTGCATATTAGCCTTTTATTATATAGGAGATTACTAGTAAATAATTGGTCATGAACCAGATATTCAATAATCTCTTTAAGTGCTTTAAACAAAGAAATGTTTTACATTGTACTTGTAGAGCAAGAGACTTAGAGATAATCCAGTCTATATGCAACATGCTCAAATGTCTTCAGGGCCAAACTGAAACCTGGGGTCTGAGTCCCTTGGAGAAGGCACAGCCCCACTGAAGACATTCAAATCACTGCCAGCTTCTGGATCCAACCTCCTGGTTTCATTTCTCATCTAAGGAAACTGAAGAGACTAGGCATAAGTGACTCTTAGAGGCTCTAGAGCAAACGCATTAATCAGAGGCAAGGAGAGCTGAAAACCGAAACCACGCCAGGTATTTTAAGCAGAAAGAAATTTTATACAGGGAATTAAGTGAACTGCCAAAGGGCTAGAAGTACAGGATCTAGGCTTGGCCTCCAGAAATGAATTCTAGAATATTAGCAACTGAGCAACAGAACAGTGTACTATTTTTGCACAATTAGGAAAACCAACAAGGACTGTGGAGTTCAAGAACACCACCTGTATCTGTGACCCCAAGGAGCTGGGATCTGAAAGCTGCCTGGGGAGGGAGCACAGAGTATGTTATTCACCACCTTCCTCAACAGCCTCTTGATAGTACAGAGCCTGTGAGTCAACACAGCAATGCTGTGTCTGGCTGTCGCAGACTGCAAGTCCTTGCCAACACCTACAGTCCAGAGCCTGGAGCTGGCATCTCCAGGACCTTCCTTGCCCGCAGAAGACAGCCCCACATAGCAGGGAGAGGGCCTCTGCCTCACCTCTGCCTTCGAAATGTCAGGCAAGTCATCTCTTTGCCTGACCTTAATTTTACTTCCAGAACTCTAGCTGGAAGGCAGCGCGGGGAACGTTTTCAGCGCTCCAATTTCTCCCGTACAAGAAGGCACACCGGAAGCGGGAGGAGAGGATGGGAGCGCTAGACTTCCATATCCAGCACAGCAACTTCTAGGGTAGGCTCCCGGGCTCTGACCTACATTAAGGACCTTTCCCACTTATTCTATAAGGCCTGCTATGCAAATCCTAAAGAATAAAACAACAACAAAGGGCATGAACTTTAGCCAGCAGGGGAATAATCCTAAAGATCTTAAGAGGCTGGAAAATACATTGTGTGAATACCTTGATCATATGTTTGTATAGCATGAATCACACCGCCGAACGACTTGTTAGGGACAGTAGGACACTTTGAACTTCAAACTACTGACAGGCAGAAGCTGTATTCGATTTCTATTTGTATCTCCTCTCCCCGGAACTGCTTGGATCAGAGAAGACACACAAGTATCTGCTGAATTGAGATGCTTCACTCCGGACTTGAAGAGAAACAGCCAGATTTCATGAGTAACTAATAGATGCAATGTCAGGTGAGGCCTCCATACAGAGGAGCAGGGAAAAAGGGGTGTCAGTCTTCCAGTGAAGACAGGGGTTGGCCGGGCTAAGAAAGTTTCCGGCGCTGCTGTCCATTTCTTGATGGGAGGCTTAAGGAAACAGTACTTTTCTGCTAGTAACCTTTCAGGGCCACACATCTTACCAGAGCCTAGGGTGAGATAACCAGCGGACGCCTGGTTAGGGAAAGGAGCCACAGGCAGCCTCAGCGGGCGCCCTGAGCAGGTGGTTCTGCTCTCCAGTCGGTAGAATCTGCTGGTTCTCAGCACCTCGGGGTGCTAACGTTGCCCAGGGCAGCAACAAACAGGAGAAACCCAGCGCCACAGCAACACCAACCACTCAGTCCTGTCTCTGCGGGGAGCGCAGCCGCCTCTCCGCGCACAAGCAGAAATGCGGGGCGCTGGTGCAGGTCTCTGGCCCCGAAACCCTAGATTCCTGTCCCGGACGCTGATTTTTCCTATCCTTCTCCTTCCCCGTTCCCCGGGACACTCACCTCCGTCTCCAGCGCTGCCCCGGGCGCTGCCCCGGGCCTCAGAAAGGGGCTAAGAAGGTCTTCGAGGCAGCCCCGTCCGGCCGCGGCGCTCCGGGCCTCTCGGTCGCGCATCGCCGCCGGCGGGGCCGGGGCCGCAGTTATTGCCGCGGCCGGAGCTCGGCGCATCGCCCGGGGCTGCGGCTCCGCCTTCTCTGCGCGCGGGGCGGCGGCTGAGGGGCGAGGGGCCCGGCGCCGGACCAGCGCCCTTCCTGCGGGGAGCTCCCGGGAAGGGCGCGGTGGAGCGCGGCCCCCGGCGGGGCCAGGCCCTGGGCCGGGGGCGCAGCGCGGGCCCTGCAGGAGCCCCGGGGGCAGGCCCTGCGGCCACGGCTGGCTTATGGGTCCCTAAGCCTCTCTGTCTGGACTTGAACGCCACCTTTTAGTTGCACTTTATGAGTCTTCTCCTGTGCGACGGGAAGACCAAGGATCGTTCTTCTGGTGACCAACGAAGTGGGACCAAATCTTGTTCTTCCCCCTCGTGCCCTTTTTGTTCTTGTTTTAGGTTTAACCTTTCCACCAGCAGTTTGATTATTTTACCTTTAATTTTAATTTTTTTTATTAAGGTATTATATGTGTACATATGTTACCATTGCTCCCCCCCCCCCCCCCCCCCGTCACTCCCATACATGCCCTTCCTCCCCACAGTTTTTCGTCCATTGGTTTTGCTTATATAAATGCATACAAGTCCTTGGTTGATCTCTTATCTCCCCCATATCTCCCTCCCCTCCCCGCTGTAATTTGACAGTCTGTTTGTTGCTTTACTGTCTCTGTATCTATCTTTTTGTTCATTAGTTTGATTATTTTACCGTTAAAACTACCTTCCATTGCCTGCCTTTCCTCTGTATTTGACCCACCAACTGAGTGTGTGCTGTGCATATGCCCGCACATCCCTTTTGGGGATAATTTACATTTACTTCTGAGATTAAAAAAAAAAAAAAGTCTTACCTGGTTTTTCACTCCTTTAAGAAAGTGCCAATTTTAGTCACCTCTTTCCAGGCAAGAGGGACAATGTTCAGTAAATGCTTCCAGCAGACAGAAACCACTCATTCCTGCCTCTCAGGTCCTCCTTGGTGGAAAGAATGGATGAACCTATGTTCCGCCCAATAAGCTTCTCCAGAGCACCTGACATGATTATTTCCTAAACTGGCCCCTTCCTCTTCTACAGCTTGGCAAAATTTCTAGTTACATCCAGCTTCCTCTTACCACAGGAGTGAAGCACATTTTCCCTTTTCTTCCAGTCACATGATCTTCACTGATACGTCACCCAATGTCATTAGCATGACTTTGGAGAAATGAACTATTGAGCTAGATTTTACTTTGTTTTTTTTGTGTGTTTTTTTAAAAAAATATATTTTATTGATTTTGTACAGAGAGGAAGAGAAAAGAGTTAGACACATCAATGAGAGTCATCGATCAGCTGCCTCTTGCACACCCCCTACTGGGGATATGCCCGCAAGCAAGGTACATGCCCTTGATCGGAATCGAACCCAGGACCTTTCAGTTCCCAAGCCGACGCTCTATCCATTGAGCCAAACCGGTTTCAGCTTACTTTGGTTTTATTGTTTATAATGTTTCACAGCTTACAGTTAGCTCTGAGAGAAATAACTAGGAGGGAGCATTTGTTCAAGTTAGAATGCATTTTGTAGAATCGAGTTTATTTAAAATTCATTTGTTCACAGCTCTACAAATACATGTGTGTGTGCTCACAGTGTAAAGTACTTGAGAACAAACCTATAGACTTTCGTGTTCTATACTTCACTTGAGAACAAGTTACAGCAGTTTGGTTAGGATGCACCCAAAAGAAATGCAAGTCATTTGGCCCAACTTTCTCCCATCCAAGTACTAACCAGGCCCAACCCTGCTCAGCTTCCGAGATCAGACGAGATCGGGCGCGTTCAGGGTGGTATGGCCGTAGACCATTTGGCCCAACTATCTAATTTCACAAACCAGAAGACAAAAATCCAAGATAAATTGAGCAACGGGCTCTAGGTCACAAACCAAGCTCTCTGTGAGCCAGCAGAGGAACAACTGGCCCAGAACCTCACAGTGAATCTAACAATCAATGGGCTCTTTGGGAATGCTAATCAAAATACCCTTCGCTGTCATTTGAACTCAAAGTTAATATCCTTTGCTGTCATTTATGTTCTATCAACTGCAAATATTCTTCTTCCTAAAATGTTATCCTTTCATTGTTCATTTCAATATTTTCCTTGTTGGTAAGGTTCTAAGAGAAAAGGCTACCACTGTTTATTCTCTACTCTACTCGCCAAACTGGCTTTACAATTGCATAAAGTTCCTGGTGTTCTTTAGCAGTGTTGCTTTCCATGGGTTTATCCTGTTTGGCATATACATAGAAGTAACAGTCATAAAGACGTCTACAAAAATTTGGAGCATGTAGATATGAAAAAAAATTAGAGGCTTTTGTTTGTTTGTTCCCACCGAAATTGCAACAAAAGCATATCTTGTTGTTATTGTGCCATAAAGCTTAGGGCACAGAATAGAGAAATTCAGTATTTTGTCAAAACTTGGTACTTCAAGCTCAACTGTCAGAGCCACCTAAGAATGGCAGATATGATTCAGCTTTGTGTTCTGCATCTTGGAAATTAGTGTCAGAATACCAGCCCTGATTTCTTTCGTGAATGATTCATTTGCTAGCATGCTTAGCAATTCTGAGAGGCAGCGATGCTGGCCACTAATATTAGATTTTTAGAAGCTGCCTAGGTTTAATGGAATTGGGAATGTGTTCATTTGTACTTGTGGGGGTTGGGGAGTGGGGATCTTGAATCTGCTGTTCTGTTTTTTAATGTTTTTATTTGAACAGGAGAATGAGCTTCTTTCCATTTCATTTTCCTATGGCAGTACCTATGCATGAGAAAAACAAAACTATAATAGTTCAGGGGAATTAAGAACACAAAAGAGTGAAAAAACTTTTTAAAAGAAAACTTGTAGATTAAGTTCATGGAGGTTTGATGAGTATATTGAGTAAAAAAATATTTAGCTTCAATTCATTGTTTGATTCAAAGTCATGGGCCCATAGTTTTTGAATATAAGGAATTCAGAAAAATTGGGGCAGATGGTTAGATGGAAATTATAGCCAGCTGGTTATTTGTTTTTCATGTGTTTAGGGAGGACTGTGAGCTCCTTAAAGTTAGAACCATATTCAGCTTTATTTCCTACTAGGGGCCTGGTGCACGAAATTTGTGCATGGGGGGAGGTCCCCTCAGCCCAGCCTGCCCCCCTCTCACATACTGGGAGCCCTCAGGGAATGTCCTACTGATGGCTTATGCCTGCTCCCTTTGGGGAGCAGGCCTAAGCTGCAATCTGGCCTCTTTTTGTTGAAGACAACTGGGCTGATCAGAGAAAGGCACCAGCCCCATCACTCTGCTGCTGCAGCCACTGCCAGTCACCACAGCCACCAAGGTGTTTTCATCAACATGAACTCCTGTCCCTTCATCATGAAAAAAATGACAACTTTCTTTAGACATTTTCAAGATGTGTCTTTCATAAGATATGACTTTTCTTTTCTTTTCTTTTTTTCTTTTCTTTTCTTTTCTTTTCTTTTCTTTCTTCCTTCCTCCCTCCCTCCCTCCCTCCCTCCCTCCCTCCCTCCCTCCCTTCTCTCTCTCTCTCTCTCTCTCTCTCTCTCTCTCTCTCTCTCTCTCTTTCTTTCTTTCTTTCTTTCTTTCTTTCTTTCTTTCTTTCTTTCTTTCTTTCTCTTTCTTTTTATCTTCACCTGAGTATATGTTTCCATTGATTTTTAGAGAATGTGGAAGAGAAAGGGAAAGACAGAGAGAAACATTAAAGTGAGAGGAACACTTTGATTGTTTGCCTCCTGCATGAGCCCTAACCTGGGCCCCAGCCAGGGAGGAGCCTGCAACCTAGGTACAACCCTTCATCAGAATCAAACTCAGACCTGCCACTGGCAAACTTAGGCAATATCCACTGAGCCAAACCACCTAGGGCAGGATATGACATTTCTTAGCCCTCCAGTAGAGGGCCTTCATTTTTTTTTTATTTTTTTTTCTCCATAAGTGTTGTGGAAAACCCCTAGATTACCTTTTTGGATTTTTATACGCAATTTACTAAGAATATTACCAGTGGCATACAGGGAACTTAGCCAATGAGGAGTCAGAAAAGGTGTTTTCTCTGTAGTTCACACCTATTTCCTCTGATCTCTGGCTCCATCCCTGCAAAGGCCTAAAGCCTCCGGCTCTGGGCAAGGCACCCCCAGCTGGCTCCGATCACCCAGCTCCACGCCCCCGCCAAGGCTCAAGCTTCTGGCTGAGGCTCAGGCCCTGGGCAGGGGACCCCCAGCCAGCTCTGATTGCCCAGATCCTCCCCTGGCCAAGGCCAGCAAGGGCAGGCGGAAAGCTTGGCTTCCTCCATTGCTGGGGAAACCCAAGCCTTCCTCCTGCTCTCTCCGTGGCTGCTTGGATTTATTTGCATATTTGATCCTGATTGGCTGGTGGGCGTGGCTTGTGGGTATAGTAGAGGTATGGTCAATTTGCATATTACTCTTTTATTAGATAGGATATGTGCATCATACTATTTGCTCTTTTGAAGTAGCAACAAATAAAATAAAACCCTGTAGCTAAATGAACAAGAAAAAGCTCTTTCTAATAATCTCTTATTGAATTACCATCTGTGAATTTAAATGTTTTTCTTGAAAAATTTATTTTCTTCTTTATGTATTCCTGATACATGATTCATTTATATTCATTTATCCAGAAACTATTTCTAAATTTCATGTATGTCCTCTTGTCTATTACCCTGGAATTTGGTTAAAAAAAAAATCTATACTTAATCTAAGAAATATTCCCCACACTGACAATACTACCAAGTTAGTGAACTACATTTTTTTAGGCCTATGTCAAATATCATTGTTTATTTTAATAAATATTTTTTAGTTCGACTAAGAAATTAAGCATTAAGAAAATAGTACTTAATTATAAGTGATGGCATCCATTAAGGATAAATGCCTGATGATTATATTTCTTTTATGTAACAGATTAGCAATATAGTTCTGATTAAACTCCTTTAAATGTAAGTTATTGAGCCAAACTCCTTCCTACCTCTGGTATTCATTTATAAAGGTGTAAGATTTTAAAATTAGTACCCATAAACAGACCACTGCAGAACTGTACAAAAACATTTGAATGTTGGAAAATAGAGTAAAGGTAAAATAGAAATGAATACTTTTTCTTAAAAAACAAGAATAAAAAAAACAACTTTCCTTTTTTCTTCATATTCACATTTTACTTTATATGCTTAGAAATTGGGGTTTATTGTTAAAACTATTCATTTGTAGTGAGTTCCTTATCTTTGATGTCATCTACAATGGAATGTAGAAGAGATTAGAGCGATTAACATATTTAAAGAACCAGCCATACAAACAATGACATCATTACGAAGGCCTTGTTTTCATTCCTGTGCCATTAACCAGAAAGACGTGATGTGATGGGTGAGTCTTCTTCAGAACCAGGTTCACAGTGGACAGGAAGGGCCTCCTCCCCGCAAGGAGAGCCTGAAGTCACAGGCTCCAGCCTCCATCGATGATGACGGGGTTACCTGTTACGTAGGCAGACTGCAGGGACGAACACATGGAGACAGAACAATTAACCAGGTTCCACACAGGTGGTGTTTTTCCCAATTCATCTATGACTGACGTAGCTAAACAATTTACTCTCAGAGTAAAGGGAACGCTCAACAAAGAGAATTCACGAAAGTCTGAATTAAATTTGGGGATAATTTAACATTTCTGTGTTCTTGTGGTCTGGCCTCTGGCTCGTATTTCAACATATGTCACATTCTAAGCAGATCTATAAAGTGTTTGGTCTCACAATCAGAAAATTAAGTTAGGTGGTAGCCCTGGCCGGTATTCCTCAGTGGTTGGAGTGTTGGCCTAACCACTAAAGGATTATGGGTTTGAATCCCAGTCAAGAGTTACGGATTTGATCCCCAGCTCCAGTCAGAGGCATGTGCGGGAGACAATCAACCAATGTATCTTTCTCACATTGATGTCTGTCTGTCTAGTCTGTTTTTTTCTCTCCCCCATCTCCCTCTCTCCTTCTGCCTCTCTCTAAAAATCAATGGGGAAAATATACTTGAGTGAGGATTAACAAAAACAAAAATAAAAGTTAGGTGACATATAGTCATTCCTGAAATTTGGATAAAGTCTAGGCTAGAACATTACATTTGCATTTTGAAACTCAGAACTATTCTAAATGAGCTGAATTTTGTGCCATTGATAAACTTTTGAATATAATCAGGTATGTCGGTCATAAAGTGGTCATGCCAATTACCAAACAAAAATTAAAAAAAAATATATTGTATTGAAGCATCCATCTCATATAAAAACTGCTGTCTGAAATGTTAACCCTGCTATTTGGCTTCTGTAAATGCTTGCCTGCTTAAATAATGAGAATAAGACTACTCCCACTTCAGAGAGACCATTAAACCTTCCCTGGATGAAATTATCAGTGCTGACACCTGGCCAGGCCTTTGGTTGAGATCTCAAGGCCCCAGCACATAGGGCTCTTTAAGAACTTGAAAATGGAGCCAGAAATACCCCATATTTGGGAGACAAAGAAGGTAAAAACATATAAATGGGGAAAATTCCTCCATGTTGGGGCCCAGAATTTGAGAGACATTTTTCTCTGGACCTGCATGTAATAAATGTAACTCCATCTCTCTAAGTATTGCTTGGTTCTTTTCCGGTTTTCTGTAACATTATTGGTTCCCTGAACCAGCGAACAATTGTGCTTGGCCTTTTGGCCTCCGGTGAATGGGCCAGGTTTGGGGCCTGGGAGAGCCAGATAGGCCTCCAGGAGGTGCTGCTCTGCTGATTTAGCAGAATTGAACTGGGGGACTCTGGGCGCTCTCAGACCTCAGCCCAGGACCCAGCCTGCATCTGGAGAATGGACAGACACTTCTGGACCTGTCAACAGAATCAGTAAGGTAGGGGCCCAGTCAGCTCAGCACACTCCAAGTGAGTGGAAGGGGGTGCTTGATCACCTCCCCAGAAGCCATACGGCTTCCGCAGGCAAATTAATCAGGAATCAGGTGGGTTGTTTAATCTCTGAGTAAATATCTGGTAGAAGTAAAAACCTCGAACTATAATAGCTAGTATATAAATGTGAGGCTCTGGAAGTGACTGAAGGAATTATGAGTTCACTCTGCTGTTTGTGTGAGACTAGCCAATTTGCTACCCAGAAGGAGGACTGGACGCAGTCTTAACTCCTCCGGTAGGTTCTCACCAAGATGTTGGTAGAGAATTCTGTTCTGGGTGCTGGGAGTGCCATGGTTTTGTTTTTCTGCTGAGCTCCAGTCTGGGCTAATCTACTGAGAGAGTGTGAATATGGATATTTGTCTATCTTGGCATAATTATCTGCTCCTTAACTGGTCTGTGTGAAGCGAAAGCCACTTTGTGCCTTTTGGCTGTACACATTAGAGAATTTGTTATCTCTTTCTATTGTTTAATTGTTTAAAGATAGGGCGGGACCTGCTGTGATGGTCTGTAAACATCTTAAGCAGCTCTGCTGAGTTATTTTTCTCAGAGATGTTTGCTCTCTATCACAGTAGGAGGAAATCAGCCCATTTAGCTAATAAAAAATTTCTCTCTATGTCTGTATAAGTAAGGGTTTCAGTTTGCTCTGATTTGTGAATTTGCTGTATTAAATTGAAATTTTAAAGTCCTAGGTTGATTTAAAGGTATAAATTTGTGACATTTCAAAGAAGAAAGAACTTTTATTTATGGCTTTCTTATCTCTTTTGGTGGTCAGAGACTTCCAGGGGCACAGCTTACAGCTCTGCAGGGCGGAGAGATTTACAGGCCCTGTCCCTGCCTGTGACATCATAGTCCAACGTGATCCACCTGAGGGGAACTAAGGCTGAAGTTGTTATTAACTGTTTATGACCTCTTTAACCCTGGCTGTGTGTTTTGTTTAACTTACTGTTTTCAGTTATTAGGATCCTCATAGAGGACATAACTTGGTCTTTCCCTTCCTCTAATAGGACCTGTAACTGGATTAAAGATCTTTTCTTTCAGGAGGCCATCCAGGCTTTCAGTTCACAAGAAATCTCCCTACACACCCTTATCCCCCTCCTCTATCTTTCCAGGCTGAATAAGAGTCATTTTCCCCCACAGGTCAGACCCCAGTCTCCGGGAGGGAGGACTGCTATAGCAGAAGTCCATAGTTTTCTCCGAAACTCCCACTGTTTCTATTTCTCCCCTCTGTAGGAATTGTCTTCTTCTGAGTCATAATAGGAAAGGGAGACAAGCCACGGGACTGGAAACGGGAATGGTTGGAGAAATCAAGAGTGGTAAAGATAAAGATTTAAGATCCTCTAGGAGTTTAGGGGCTTAGAGTAAAAATCCATGAGGGAAAACAACGGTTACAGAAAGAAAAAGAGTATCCTTAAATGTAAAAAGCCTAAATATACAGGATCTCAGACCATTTGACTTGTTTCAGGACAAGGTAAATGGTTAATGCAGAAAAAGCAGTGTGTGTGTGTGTGTGTGTGTGTGTGTGTGTGCGCGCGCGCGCGCGCGGGGGTGGGGGTGGGGGAGAGGGAAGAGGTCGGAGGGGGGATTGGCTGTTAATTATGAAGCAGGGAGAGATAGGTTTTTGTTGATTTTTTACTGGCTGCAGACCACTCTGCTGGCATAGGGGTATGGTCCAAGAGTCTTATCAGAACTTCACTAGATTCAAGGTCGCAAGTTTTCTGCAAGCATAATTAAACTAGTTGCCCTGGTGATTTAAAACTGGCTGCTAGGCAGACTCAGTCCGCGAGAGCCAGGTGAAAGAAGGGGGCAAGGGGGGCAGAATGCCTGAGCTGCCTTCAGTGGCCCTGGAAGAAGCAGCAGCAGTGAGAAAAGCGGGGGTCAGCAGACATTTACCTGACATTAGAGCTACCCCGCTGCTGCCCAGTGAGTGATGAGTGTTTTACAACAAGCAATACAAGACGTAGGCCTTCGGCTTGCTGGCTGCAGCAGTTATACCAGAAGCCAGTGACTGCTACTGGCCTTCCAGCAGGCCCAGGAATAGAGCATCAGGCCCGGGATCTGTGAAAGCAGCAGATAGAGCTAGTGAAAGCTCCCTGTCTGCAAATATACTGAGAGGGTTCAGTACCTGTTGCTGCTGGAAGAGGAGGGGCTGAGATCCCCTTCCAGTGCCATCCCTTGGGAGAGGCCTGGTCGCTGCTCTGCCATGAAGGGGACTGGCAGAAAGACAAGGGGCCCAATACCCAAGCCACTGCCACAGAAGTGCTTTGCAATATGCTAAGCTGTTTCTAACTGCAATTCTGGCTGCTTTGGACTGACAGCTTAAAGTCAAAGAGCAAAGGAAAGGCACTCTCCCTGGACCAGGGAGCCTTCAGGACTTTGAGATTCTCCAAGAGAGAAGGAGTCTGACTGAGGGATGGCAGAGATCCTGTTGGGTTGGAAGGACCTAAGGCCACATGTTAAACTTATAAATTACAGCTTTCTAGGCAGATGTCCAAGCCCAGATATGTAGAGGTTAAGCTGCCTGTTTACAGCAAAACAACCTTCTCCCATGCCAGAATAAATTTTAGGGAAATTAGACAGGCTGTGTTTGTGGCTAGAAAGAACTGGCCACCATGCACAGCCCTGACAGTGGCCTGCAGAACACTGTATAATAGACTTAGATGATGCCTGCATCTTATGGGCATGATTCCAGAAAGACAAGAATAATTTTGCTTTGTGTGGGAAGGTCAAGAATAAACTTTAGTCATCTCCCTAAGATATTTGTATAGCCCTACCATGTGTCATTTATGGTAGCAGAAGATTTGGCTACCTGAGGTGGCCACAGCGCCAATACTGTACTTCATTGTGTTACATTAACCTTACAGATTTGAAAGGGCAGGTGCCCAAATGGGCAAGGAAAATACCCATCTGGTTTTGGTCTCTATTAAAAGACAGTTGGCAGCCTGTATACTGTCTTTGCAGGCCTGTGTGACCATGCCCATGTCAGTTGTGGCACAAACCTCAACTTTAGGAAACTGGGGAAGGCTGTTTAGAACTGAGGGAAGTGGTGAGTACCAGCCCTTTATACAGGAATTACAGACCCCAGGAGGTCCTGTGACATGTGAGACCCTGTAAAGCAATAAAGCTCCCTTAGTCCTTTCTCTGAGAGCATGTCACCCCTCCCAGAGACCATATGAAATTTTAAGGACAGGTCAAGTAGGGGGAACCCCACTACAAGGACAGCTATAATTGTCTACTTGAATATAGACACATTTTGAATTTCTCCTTGTCATTTGAAGACAGTTACATTACTCTGAAGAACCCACAGAAAGGACTGACAAGGAAAATCAGAAGATCTTAAAGCAGGTCAGTATATTTTTCTCCTTATATAATTCCTCTGAAATTTGGCAATGCTTAATAAATCACGACAATACATTTCTCTGCATAAACTCAATAAGACCGGTTTCTAATAGTGGTTTTATTGACTGGAAACTTTGACTGGAGTGTCACGTTTCAAAGAGCCCTGTCTAAACTCTGAAAACTTGAAGCCAATAAGAGTGCCAAGGAAAAGCCTGGTATCCTGCTTGGGAGCCCTGAAAATGGCTGGCACTGGAGCGTCAGGCCCATGCCCTGCCATCACTGGCGGTTGGCCAGAATAGAAGGGGAGCAATAAGGACACCTCTACGTCCTTTCGGAACCCCCTCGACAAGTAGGAGGGCTCCTGAGATGGGCCTTAAAATCTAGGGCGTGGGCCCAGGTGGAGTCGCTGCAGGTGAGGGATTCACCTAACTGAGCAGATACTGCAGGCAGCCGGACGGCAGCTGATGGCTTGGCTTCCTAGCCCTATGGGGCACACTAAGGTTCAATCGTGACATTTTCCTCTGGACCTGCGCGTAATAAATGTAACTCCATCTCTCTAAGAATTGCTTGGTTCTTTTCCGGTTTTCTGTAACATAGTATAGTTGACCAGTATATAAAGTCAATTCCAGGAACTGAAGCAGACTAAATATATTTGAAAAATTTGAATGAAGATACTGAATTATTATAATCTATTAAACTATGAAAAAATTTGATGCTAGTTTTAGATACAAATCTGTGCTAAAGGAGTTAAAACAAATAATTTTTTTTTTCTGACAGAATTTTTCACTTTCCAAATTATGAAAGGTAAAATGATTTATTATGGTAGAGGTTTAAAAAATATCTTTTAACTTAAACATAGATAATAAAGATTAAAATCTGTGTTCTTAGTTTTAAATTTATTGAAAGCCTAAGACAATGGAAGAGGGAAGAAGAAAAGACACGAGTACAGAAATTTTTAAAGTCTATTCCATGAAAACTGATCATATCATGTAGATAAACTAGGAAGGATACTAATCACTTTATCAAAAAATGATGCCCTCTTTCCCCAAGGTTTTTATAAGGCAAGCTCTCTGTTACACATCCGCACTTCTCTGGGCCCCTTTAAGAGGCTGAAGGTCCTTTTGATGCACGTTTCAAGCCAGAACATTTCCAAATATGTGGTAACCTAAACTCTGGATAAACAAGGGCAACCTAACTTATCAGGTGTACCCCCAAATCAAATGGGCTCTTCCGAAGACATTCATTCAGGGAAATCACCAAGGCCAATATACATGCTTCATTAGTATTTTGTCTAGCAAGTTCCCCAAGTAGTTCTAAGAAGTAGTAACTGCTCTGTCACCTGTGTTGGTCAGATTCAAATCCTGTATTGGTCATATTCACCAACCATCTGGTATGTCACACCACGTTCCTGTAAAGAGGAACTAACTGATGAGTAACACACCTCCTCACTCCTGCCTATGCACTTCCTTATCCCTGTTTCTCTCTCTCTTTCTCTCTCTCTTTTTTTTTAATATACACACATATATATATATTTTATTGATTTTTTACAGAGAGGAAGGAAGAGGGCTAGAGAGCTAGAAATATCGATGAGAGAGAAACATCCATTAGTTGCCTCCTGCACACCCCCTACTGGGGATGTGCCCGCAACCAAGGTACATGCCCTTGACCGGAATCGAACCTGAGACCCTTCAGTCCCCAGGCTGATGCTCTATCAACTGAACCAAACTGGTCAGGGCAATCCTAGTCTCTTTTCATACATTGTAGTGCCTTGGTCAAGTAACATTCAAAGCCGTAAGACAGAGAGGGATGTTCCTGTGCTCTACACCTTGTAAATACAGTTTCTGTTTTTGCAGTAGGATGCCACTTAAAAACAGTCAATAGCTGTTGAAGAAACTGGTTCCCAAGTAGGTGCGAAGTGGAAAGGGACAGAATTAGGAACTTCCATACATGATGTCAAGTATGAATTCATAGAAAAAAAGAGCCAGGGGGAGTCTGCTAAATAAAGGCACCGGTAAAACTAAAATCACCAATTTTGTGCTTGCCACATGCAATTAAATCTGATGGACCTCCTCCCTGCTTCACCTCAAGCGCTCAGAATTTTGGAGGCTCATTTGTTTGACTCACACTTAACCAGGGTTTCCCCAACTGCAATTTTTGAAAGCAGCTGTCTGTTTGAAGTTGAGCAATTTTTTTTCTTCACTCCTCTATTTCAATTACTATAAGATTTAGTAACATGTAAAGCTGAATGAGGAAAATTCGCAGCTCAGATCAAAGTGGTGTTTCTTTGAGCAAATTGAACCAGAACGGATCCCTATCCAGTAACCGCAGCATCTTAGCGTGTGTATGTCCATTACTCCCAAATACATAATATTTTTCTTTTTAGCAAATATTGGCCAAATACGATTAAGATAATGAACCCCTTACGAAGAGCAGTGCTTACTTCATCAGAAGCCAAGTACACACACAGCAGGGCTATTTCTTCTGCAGTTGCAAACCTTCCAGTCTTCTGTCTCTTCAGAAAGTCGCTCAGTGCCTGTGACCAGAAACCATGCCAGATGTCAGTGACCGGAGCTGACGTGGGAACTCGCCTGCAATTCCTCCTGGCAATCAAAGGCAAGCTGAATCTAGACATACCACTGGCTTGGGGCCTTCATCATGTATGATGCATAATATGTGAGAATATCACTAATTGTGGACTAAAGCAGGCCAAGCAGGGCTATGGCGACTTCCTAGCTACTCAAACTATTTTGTTATCCTACAGACACCGTGACAGATCGAAAAGTTCATATTAATGAAGGAAGCTTTTTTAAAGCGGTAGTAAAATACACTTAGTGGGATATTTGCCATCTTCACCATTACCGTTCAGTAGGGACATTCGCACTGTCGTGCGACCTATCTCCAGAGCTCTTTTCATCTTGCAGAACTGAAACTCTGTACCCAGTACCCAGCAACTCCCCATGCCCACACCCTCAGTCTCCCCTGTCCTCCCTAGCAACCACCATTCTACTTTCTGCTTCTACGAATTTGTCTACTCTAGGTAAGGAAGAGGGCATTTTCTCACGGGAAGACTTAAACACATTTAGGAGAGTAGGTATACCTCTTCAGGATTTGGTCGGGCTTGTATTCTTTCTTGCAGAGATGGGGTATCGACAGTTCCTAAATCAAACAGGACATTCAGTGTGGTTAGTTTCTTTAACTGAAAAACAAAACAAAAAGCTGACACTTTGAACTCCCTTTCCATGTAATAGGACAATCAATGAAAGCCTTCTCCATGACTCAGAATGACAATTTCACGTCTACCAGCCAGCTCTGTTATATAGGACTTATATATAACTTCTGTAGTGACATATCTGTGACTTTTTAAAACACAGACTATATCTTGGTGACATCAGGCAGGGACTCTGGGTGAAACACCCAACATTCCCAAGATCTATTGATAGATTTTAGTCACATGAGGTTAACATGATCCATTATGGATTTTAAGCACTTTTACATGTATTATCTCAGTTAATTCTCACAACCGTCCTGAGATGTGGACACCATGATGGAAGTGCTTTCCCAGCATGAGGACCCAGACCGCCTGAAGGCCCTCAAACCACCCCAGCTGTTAGGTTCACACCGGGGACCGTGGGGCCAAGGCAGTGCCTGTCATCGTCCGCCATAACTTAGGCGGTTCTACATTTTCCTCGTTCTCTTGCCTATTTTCATTGGTTTCAAATTCCTCTTTTTAAGCACTCTCATAAAAAAATGTAATTTGAAATTATTTCGCTTAAAAAAATGAATGGACACTAAAATGTTTTAGATCCCACTTAGAGCACGCTTCCAGACTTTTTGTTCACTTACACAGTCTGGCAGTTCTCTTGAGAGGGCTGTTTTTTCTTCTTCTGACTGAGAGTACTCCGGGGGACCAAATGGCCTTTCTAGGTCATAAGTGACTTTACAGTCATGTCTGCAGCTCTGTCTTTAGACCATGCTCCTGGGAATGCCACAGGTTTGATGTTTGCTTGGAAACCATTTCTTAATTTCTCTTTATTTGACATTTCTCTGGAGGCTGGGAATCTTCAGAATCAGCAAATCCTGGCGCGCGCTCTCTCTCTCTCTCTCTCTCTCTCTCTCTCTCTCTCTTTCTCTCTCTCTCTCTCTTTTTTTTTTGTCCAGCCCTTCTTCCTTTAGCTTCTCTCTCCTCTCACATCTTACTGTAGGTGGGTGGCACTTTTGAACATTCTGGGTGGAAATTGCCTTTGCTAGATCACCCAGTTCATGAGGGATGTTTTCTACCTCATGGTAATGCAGGGAATAGTGTTGATAAACTTTGTGAAGCCACATACCTTGTATCAGTTTCCAAGAGTGTTTCCCTCACCTCCTTCACCAACAGCCTCCTCACAGTACAACATTCTACCAGCAGTGTGCTCAAGGCCCCTAACACGTTCCCTATGCACTCTCTTCAAAATCCTTACAGCTTTGGCCACTTCCCTCCACTGAGGCAAATGAGCGCCAGACCCTACATGCGGCTGGTATGACGGCTATTGCACGAAAACTGTGGAGCAAGCTTACGCCTTCACATGACCTAAACTCTGACCCTAATTCATTGCCACTAGATTCTGCTGTGTCCATGGCACAGACCACCACCCATGCTACAGTCTACACAAGTCCGCAGTTGGAGTGCTGTGACTGTACAACCACCAGGATCATCCCAGACACAACCATTCCTAGTCAGGTTTTCTCCTGTGACCGGCTCGGTGAGTCATGGCTGGTTCCTTGTTCCAGAGAGTTTGGTAACATATTTTCCAGTCTCCTGAAAAGTCCATCTGCTAAAACAACCACATTTTCCAAATCATTTTGCCATTTATTCCATTGGGTAAATAGCACCGAGAATAGATATACCTAAGTTTCACCAGTATGTGTTAAAATTGTCTCACCTATATCCTCCTTTTCTTAGTGTTACCTATGTTTACTTTTTTTAAAAATATATTTTATTGATTTTATACAGAGAGGAAGGGAGAGAGACAGAGAGTTAGAAACATCGATGAGAGAGAGTCATCGATCAGCCGCCTCTTGCACACCCCCCACCGGGGACATGCCCGCAACCAAGGTACATGCCCTTGACCGGAATCGAACCCGGGACCCCTCAGTCCCCAAGCCGACGCTCCATCCACTGAGCCAAACCGGTCCTATGTTTACTTTTTAAAAAAATATATTTTATTGATTTTTTTTTACAGAGAGGAAGGGAGAGAGATAGAGAGCCAGAAACATCGATGAGAGAGAAACACCAACCAGCTGCCTCATGCACACCCCTCTCTGGGGATGTGCCCACAACCAACATACATGCCCCCACCTGGAATTGAACCCGGACCCTTCAATCCGCAGACCGACGCTCTACCACTGAGCCAAACTGGTTTTGGCCTTTTTTTTTTTTTTTTTTTTTTTTTTTAATCCTTATCAGAGGATATTTTTTTCCCATTGATTCCTAGAGAGAGTGGAAGGGATAGAGAGAGAAAAACTTTGACGCAAGAGAGACACTTTGATTAGTTGCCTCCCGAATGCACCCTGACTGGGGCTGGGGATCAAATGTGCAACTTAGGTATGTGCCCTTGACCAGGAATTGCACCCGTGACCCTTTAGTCTAGGGGTGTCGAACTCAATCAGAGAAGGGGCCAAAATCTAAAATCCAGCCTAAATCGCGAGCCGAATGGTTTACTGAACAGTCATAAACTGTCATTGTGATGGAAACGCAGCGGAGTGCAGTGATGACAGCGCGGTGCGGGCCACATTGCAAGGCCTAGCGGGACGGATTTGGCCCGAGGGCCTTGTGTTTGACACATGTGCTTTAGTCCATGAGCTGATGCTCTAGTCTAACCACTGAGCAAATGGCCAGAGCTACGTTTACTTTTCTATTGTAATAAAAATCAAGCAGAACACTGCAATCATGGAAATTCTGTAGTTTGCAGGGTACTTACCGTGTTTCCCCGAAAATAAGACATCCTTCAAAAATAAGACCTAGCACATGGAAAGATAAGACATCCCCTGAAATAAGACCTAGCGCAACTTTGGGAGAAAAAATTAATATAGGACACTGTCTTATTTTCAAGGAAACAGGATAGTAGTTTTCCCTCCTTAACTAATAAGTCAGTGGATTTCAACCTGAGGGGAGACCCTGATGGATTACGTCAGAATCTCCTGTGGGGCTTTCCAATCACAGGCATACCTTATTTTATTGTGTTTCCCCTTATTGTGTTTCACACCCATTGAGCCTGTTACAAATTGAGCACAAGACCCTTTGCCAGCAAAAAGATTATGACTTGCTTTATTGCGATACTAGCTTTATTGAGGTACTTGTTTTATTGCGGTGGTCTGGAACTAAATCCATGATACCTCCAAGGTACATCTGTACCATACACACAGTTTCCCCATCACGTCCTAAATTCCAGCAGGCCCTTCAGATTTTTAAAAGGTCCCACAGGTAACTGTGAAATTACACTTCTCCTCAGCTCCTCAGTAACCATTGTGAACTACTCTGATCCTGGACAGGCATTATTTAATTGCTTTCTAGAGAGGAAGTTAATACCGGTTCTCAGGCACCTTGCATTCATTTGGGGTAGGTGGAGCCCGGTGCAAGGGCATAGCTACTTAACCCAAACACCCGAGGTCATTAAGAAGGGGAAGTCGTTTTTTTTTAATCAAGAAATAAGTTACCGAATGCTTTTGTTTGGACAAATGGAATGTTGTTTCTACTAATAATGAGCTTCGCCTTTCCCCTTTCCTGCATAGGAAAGTCAGCATACTTTCTGGTGAAAAGCCAGACAGGGGATAGTTTGAGCTTTGAGAGGCCTTTGGTGTGCTTTAACTATCCAACTCTGCCTATAGCGCGGGAGCAGTCCTAGCCAACACGTACGCAGGCTGTGGATGTGCTCCCATTAATCCGTTTCTATAAAGCAGGTGGTGGCCAGATTTGGTCTGCAGGCCATCATTTTGCTGACCCCTGTTACAGCCTAAAGGACGCTGTTCACTTATGGGCCATCCAGGAGGTTCCTAGGACCCCTGCCTTCTGGGAGGCTCTTCTCCCCTCCTTCCCGCTGTTCTGTCAGTAAGGTCCTCTTTGGCCTGACAAGGTCACCCCTGGTCTGCTTCCAAGACACCATGTCCTGGCCAGGGCTGTCTCTCACCACGTGGTTTGGAGTTGCCCGAAAAACATAAATAACATTAAACCCTTTGTCTCTGTGGCTTATTCCTAATGACTTAGCCTCTCAGTCCCAATTGTCTTAACAAGCCCAGCCCTTTCCTTTTGAACGTTTCCCGATGATAGGAGACAATAAAACACGAAGTGAACAAGCGTATGTAGACATCTCGCACAGTGGCAGCCGGGAGGTCAGACAGGACAGGCTCACGGCCCTCAGTGTGGGACTCACCTGGACACACACAGTTGCACCGGACACCCTGCTGGATGAAGTCCGCAGCCACGGCCTTCGTGAGGCCGATCACAGCGGCCTTGGTGGTGCTGTACACACATCTGTTCACAACTCCTGGGGGAAGGGAGGGCTCAGCAGTGGAGCACAAATAAGTGTCCTCAGCAGCCATGTCCATGCTCCCCTCACCCCACCCTTTTAAAAAATTATCAGTTTTTTCCCCCCCTTAATAGGGCTAGTTTTGGGAAAATACCATCTTTATTGGCACAATTCAACTGAGACATAGGTGTTGACAAGCTGCACTTAAGTGACTAGAGTGGTCTTCGTTGCTCATCATCAGTTGGTAGACCCCTTCGGCAGATTCCAAAAGAGAGTCAGGGTGAAGAAAAGAAAGCAAAACCAAGAGGCCCAGGCATGTCTTTGCATTCCTCTCTGGTGTAGGTTTAAGGTGTGCTATCTCAGCAGCAGCTATTTCATTTTAATCCTGCAAACCCGCCTGGGCCAGACTGTGGCCTTATTCCCAGCTTGCTCTGCAATCCTGCTCTTCAACTTGACTCTTCATTCAGGGCCCAGATCAGCTGTCCCCACGAATCCCTCCTCATATCCACAGGCAGTTAGCTCCCTAGTGATGGCACAGCACTTTGCACAAAGCTCTGTTACAATCCTCTCATACTGTGGAAGACCCTTTAATACAGCTCCTCAACCTGTGGGTTGAGAACCGCTAGCAGGGTCACCTAAGACCATCAGAAAACATAGATATTTACATGACGATTCATAAAAATAGCAAAACTACAGTTATGAAGTAGCAACAAAAATAATTTTATGGTTGAGGGTCACCACAACATGAGGAACTGTATTAAAGGGTTGCGGCATTAGAAAGGTTGAGAACCACTGTTTTAGAGAGGAAGGGAGAGAAACATTGATCGGCTGCCTTCCATAAGCACCCTAACCGGGAATTGAATCTGCAACCTTTTGGTGCAAAGGATGATGCTCTGACCAACAGCCAGCGGGTCAAGACAACACATCTTTTTGGATTAATTAAATGAGGAAAGGTTTCCTTCTCCCTCTTGATTTCCTTCTTCCCTCTCCTGATTTCCTATTATAAAAAATAAAAGGAGGGCACAACAAAAAAAAAGTTTAATTTTATGACTGGTTCACATCTAAGGCAAAGGGACTGGAAATGAAGGAACTTAAGACCAATTTTAAAGGCAGTTTTGAAGTGACGTGTGGCTTTTATGGGTTTTGCTAGGTTCCTCCCCTTAGCGAAGGGAGGTGAGGGGCTTTGTGCATTATGACCTCAGGAGACAGACCTACCTTTGATGCTGGAAGCCACAGAGGACATGTTGATAATGTTGCCAGATTTCTGAGCAAGCATCTGCCAAAGCAAAACAAATTAAAAAAAAAAATGCTACTCCGCAGGCTAAAAATACTGCCTCTTTAGAAGATGAGCATTTACTTAGGATTTGCAGATCCATCTTATTAGCTATTAACACTAAGTGCAGTTCAGCACTCTTTAAGAGTCTGACCCAATCACTGCTGGGAGTTGACGGCCTGTGCTACAGCCGCTGGCTGGCGGGGACAGTTCCCAGGGGGATTACCCACCCCCTTGCGGTGGCCCAAGAGCATCAGCCAGACCAAGAATGAACTGAGCTGAATGGAAGGAAAAGAATGGTGATCCGTACTGTGTGTCCTGATGTTGGAAAGCTCTCGCCTTCATTCACCACAGTATCTGTTGAATACCTAACTGTGGTCGGGCATGGTGTTAGGTCTAGAAGATGCAAATGTCAATGACAGTCCTGCCTGCAGACAGCTGCCAGTCTGCTTGGAAAGGCTGATTTAATCAGCACCCAGGACAGCAGCAACCTTCACAGAGAAGGGGGAGGTGGTGGGAAAGGAGCAATCCAGGGGCGGGACACCCGGAAGAGGCTCTTGAGGAAGAATTATGTGAGTTGATTTTTGAAAACCAGTGTTAGAAAGATCAAAGAGGACGGTGTTTGAAGGAGAGAGAACGCTATGCAGAAAGGCCCCATCGAGGAGCTGGGAGCAGTGAGGTTCAGAGGTCTCGTGGGGTTGAATGTAGGAATTTGGACTTTACCCTGAAGGCACAGCTGTGGTGAGAAGGAAGGTTTAGTGCAGAGGAGAGGCATGTCCAGACGTGGGGGTTACGGAGATGACTGGTATCCTGGAAGCATAGGTAGTGTTTCAGGAAAGGGGGATAAAGCAGAGATACAGAGCTGTCAGTGGGTAAGAGGTAGCTGAGGCAGCAAGGGCGGGACTTGGTAAATGGTTACGTGCAATGAGGGCTGCCTCCCCACTTGGAGCTGTGAAGACCCCCTCCCTCAGAATTCCTCCACTAACGATGAACTCAGAGGGAGGAGGGTCTCTGGCTATCCTGTCCTTCTAGACAGAGTACACCATAGGCCGTCAATACATTCTGATGAATCAACATAAAGTGCAGATTACTGTGCTCTGCCCCAAACCTAATGGAAATATCTAATGAAATAAGCTGCTATGAGTTACAATGTTTTCAAATGAACTTTATGTATTATGTCATATATGAGTATGTTTTCAAGATAATACATGTATGTGCAAGGGCATGGTGCCCATGTATGCTTCAGGGGAAGAAGCAAGAGGTGGGGAGAATTTCTGCCTCCTGGGCACTAACTTCTCACTGAAAGCAGAGGCCAGGAAAATGGCCACAAAGAACCAGGGGAGATGGTGGGCAAGAGTGGGGTGAAGAGTTATCATAACTGTCGGGGGAAATGGAAGAACCAACTAGAGAACAGGAGAAAAAACCAGTATGTCCTATATCATGAAAATCAACGAAGTTTCTATTGGGGTGAGTTTCCCCAGCAGCTTTCAGACAAAGAGTACTGGAGAAGGTAAATGATTGGATGGATCCAGGGGTGAGGCTGCAAGAGTATATGCTTCTATTACCGTGTACTTACTTCTTATTTTGATAGTTAGCTACTAATTGTATCTAAAAGGAGATTCTAAAACAACCCTAAGCATTGTGCTGGACGGACTGATAGGACACAGGAGAGGTGGAAGTGGACGGCAGGGGAAAAACTCACCCCAACTTACATAATAAAGAATATCATAATGAAATGGGGTCCTCGGGAACCCCCTGGATAGTTAGTACAACATAGTCATGCTGAAAACCAAGCCTTAAAATTATTCCTTCTCATCAAATTTAGCAAATAGCACAACCCATTTTTATTTATTCATATGTTCCAGTTTTACTGAGCTATCATTGTCTTATAGAACCCATTTTAAATGCATATAGAATACATATAATCCCGTTTAATACATAAAGATGGGCTATTAAGTGATTTCACTCTCCCATCTCCTGAAATGCAATAATAACTTGGGCCAAACTTTAGGAGATGGTGGTGCCACCCTCTGTCACCATTACTATCCATTCAACCCAGGTTTCTCTGCTGATCCTAGAGCCCATAGTTCTTGCCTCCTTCTACTCTGCCTTCTTAGCACCAGCTTGGTACCTGCTGTCATTGTGTGAATGCTCTTCCTGGCACCCCATGCAACCGTTCTCTCTGGCAAGGATGACTGTAAAGAGAAGTGCCTGGTACATAGTAATGCTATGTAGGACTGATGTCCCTGAAACTCAGACAGGACCTGGAAAGATCTCTAAAGATTCCCTCTAACTTTATTCTACTCTGACCCAGCCCTCCTATTCCCACTGACCAGAGCTCAACTTCTGAACTAGGCAGACACTGGCTTCTGCATCTTCAGTGATTCCATGCCTGGATTGACAACCTAGATATACATATTCATTCAACAAGTGTTTCCTAAGCACCTCTATGTGGTAGGGGCTCCTATAAGATACAGTGAGTGGTTAAAATCCCCACATATCTAAGACCTACTAGAATTCTTGCCATCAAGGGTTTTCTTTTCCATTCCATAGTGGACCTTGGATTCTGCATTGACCTCCTTACAGCATTTTCAACTTGTTCTCTGCCATTTGACTGATCCTTGTTTTGGAATGATTTCCTGTTGTCTACCCATGAACAAACATTTCCTACAAGTGTTCCTGTTTTGGCCATCTGACATATCAAATCTGTCTACACTTCAATCCTGGGCCCCCAGAAAGTTCCAACCTGGTATACGTGCACCATGGTTAATGAATGCAGAGGGTCCTAGACAATTCGGCATGGAAGGGATTGGGTAGCCTATCACCCTCATTTAAAAAAACAAAGAAATAGATGCTAAAAGGGAGCAAGTGCCATCTCCCAGCTCACATGGTGAATTAGGGGCAGAGCTCAGGCAGTACCTGAGGTCTTCTGAGGCTGGGGCCAGGGTCAGGTTTAGTAAGTGGCATTGACTCCTGATTCCCAGTCATTAATATCTCTTGGGGATTTTTTTTTTTTTAAACAAATGAGTGTTACTGGCTCATATGGATTATTGTTAAAATGTTTTGTAGATACAAACTCATTAACTTACAAGTCAGTGTCTGATATTTTCAGTTAACACTCATGTACAAGTTCAGCTTCAGTGCACTCACACCTGCTTCCCTCATCGATGCTTGTAAAGCTTTCCAGACAGGAGGCTGGTTTTACAAATGAGTCCCATACAGTGTGACCGTCTTAACCGCGACACCCTAAGCTTTCACCCAGAGCCTCTGCTTCTCTCCCACATCTGACACTAACAATATGTCTTCGAAAAATACATGCAAGTTCCAAGTAACAGATTATCCTGAACTCCAAATAAACAAAACATGCAATTTATATATTTTTAAAAGTTTTCTAGTTCAATATTCCATGGATCCAACCAAAGATCCATTCTAGGCTCTCAACAAGTATATTTTTAAAAAAATTCCTTTGTTACTAAGTTAATTGTTCCAATTTTCCCTTTGAAGTCCATCTGAATGCTTCCTGACATCAGACTGAATATTCAGAGCAAAGTACCAGCCCTGCCTTGTCACTGAAAAGCTCTCTCCAGCCCTGGGCTGGGTAGCATTCAGGATGACTGACATCTAATCCAGCTGGGCGGAGAGAAGGGATGTTCTGCTTTTCTCGAGGGTTCAGCTCACAATCCTGAACTGGGCTGGTTCCGTACTCAGTCAGTCCCTTCCATTGTCTGAGCCTGTGCTGTCTGCGACTATTGACGTAAAAGCTCATTCAAGTCAGTGCTTTTCATATGTATACCTCCCTCCCCCAGAGCACTGAGTATGGTGCTTTCTATCAAAAGATACTTAAGGATTGTAAAATAAAATTAAGAATGTTGATGAGTTGTGAAGGCTGGAGAATTCAAGGGTAGGAAGATCACTGTCTCTTAGCATGCAACATCTCTGACCTCTCTGGTTCCTCTGTGGCCTAGCTAAAAACAGGAGTGCTGGCAGAATACTTAAGAGTCCAGAAAATCAATAGGGTACATCCATCTTGAGGACAGGTGCCTAGACATTGAAATTCAAGAAGGGGACTAACTTCCAGGGTTTCAATCAATCCTGGTTCTAACAACTTGCCAGTTACGCGACTTTAGGCAAGTTCCACAGCCTCCTGTTTAATCTCTGCACGGCGGATATGGTAAGCTGGTGCCCACTCATCAGACTGTTCTGGCCAGTGTGCCTCCTTGCTGTCCCTCCTCAAGGAGCCCTCTCCTCAGATGCTGAAGTGGGCCTCACTTTTCTTTCTTCATAGCACTTACAACCACCCACATGATGTATGTTTATTTGATTACATATTAGCCTGCCTCATATGAGCCCACACACACAAAACGGACCTCCCTTACAGAGGAGCTTTGTCCTGCTCTCTTCCGCACTTAGAATGGAACCTGGCTTGTAGAAAGTGCTTGGTATTCCTTGAATGGATGAACTGAGTGAGCTGATTTATATTAAGTGACTTGATATAAATGTTTAATACAGGTTAGTCAGTATGTCAGCTATTATCACTGAGGGGGTTCTCTCTAAATGCCCATGAGGAGACCTGCTTATCCAGTGGGGCTTCCCCTAGTGGATCGTCTTACTTTGGGAAGAAATGCCTTGATCATCAGGTACATGCTGCGGACGTTGAGGTTCATGGAGAAGTCCCAGTCTTTCTCTTCACAGTCCAAGATGGTTCCGTGGTGCACAAAACTGGAACGGTGATTACACATGGGGGAAATGATCAAGCATTTCAAAATATTTCTATTCAATTTCCTTTTCATTTTTATTGTCATTTATTGACTTAGACCCATGGTCGGCAAACCACACCTTGCAAGCCACATGTGGCTCTTTGGCCCCTGGAGTGTGGTTCTTCCACAAAATACCACGGCCTGGGTGAGTCTCTTTTTGAGGAATTGGCATTAGAAGAAGTTTAAGTTTTAAAAATTTGGCTCTCAAAAGAAATTTCAATCATTGTACTGTTGATATTTGGCTCTGTTGACTAATGAGTTTGCCGACCACTGACTTAGGCCATTGTCCCTTCCTTAACCAAGATTTTCAACATATCAAACATACTATCACATCGTACATTAGGTTAGCAGATATCCCAACAATATTTGAAAACAATATCCTTCTTTTACTAGAAGAAGGCAAGAGTTTGAAGCCACCAAACATAAGAAGCTTTATACCACAGCACAGGAAACATGGAAAACAAACATAAATGAGAACATCACAGCTGCCCTGACTTCCCTTTCAAGGTCAGCAGTGCCCCCTGGTGGCACAGATTTAACATTTCAAGGGAAATCAAAATTGCAAGGAAAACATCTCCAGGCAGCAAAGTATTATCACTATGTCTAACATATGAAGTAGACAGAGTGGAACAAGCCAAAAACCTTAAAGTAACATCACTCTTTTGCAAGTCAAACTTCCTTCAGGAAGCATTGTAAAAATCTGGGGTCCTAAGTGATGTCACTGTTCCCTGGACCAAAATTATGTAATTAATGATAAAATATTATTGGTGTGACTGTACTTCCAATTAAGCAGAATGAGAGAAAGAACCACATGCTCTGTCTCAATACCCTTTACTTAGCTGAAAGTTTAATAAATTCTCAGAAAACTAATTTTTCTAGCTGATTTTTTTTTTTTTTATGGCTCTGGGTATATTCTTTTATGAGGGGTGAGCAGGTTGTTTATAAAATAGATAATCACAAACTGCTGCTTTAACTTAATTTCCATACATTGTAACACATGATTAAACTGTGGATAGGTTGAGGTCCCCTCTTCCCCACCCTGTCTGGCTCTGAAACATGGTTTGGAAGAAACATCTACACTAATAAAAGAGAAACATGCAAATTGACCATCACTTTGCTATGCCCACCAGCCAATCAGGAGTGAGTATGCAAATTAACCTAACAAAGAAGGCGGCATCCCTTCCCCTAGCTACTTCAGGCCTCTGGGCAGCACACATGCAGGCAAGGAGTGGCCGGGCAGGGCGGGATGACTGCTATGAGGGGGAGGAAGGGGAACGGAGGGAACTACAGAAGTATCCTTCCGCCCAGAGTAAAGACTAAAGGCAGCAGCCAGAGCGAAGGCTTGGGTCCTGGGTGCCAGAGGAAAACCAGTGCGGGCAGTCAGGGGAAGGAAGACCTATTGCATGAATCTCTTCATGCAACAGGCCTCTAGTAAATATATATTAGACTAGAAGCCTGATGCATGAAGATTCGTGCAAGAATAGGCCTTCCTTCCCCTGGCTGCCAGCACTGCCTTTGCTCTGGCCTGGAGCCACTTTCAGCCTCTCATCTTGTGGCATCAATTTGCATACTCCATCCGTATTGGCTGTAGGCATCACCATCTTTGTTGTGGAGTTAGTCAATTTGCATATTCCATCTTTATTAGATAGGAAGGTTCTAGGATTATTCTATCAAACTATGATACAAATATGACACTACATAAAAGTAAAATTTCAGAATGTATCAACGAGTTTCTGTGTAAGTCTTAATTGTATTCACTGCCACGGTCACACCTGAGAGAGGACAGTGCTAGAAATCACTGCATCGACATGTAACTGCTCCAATTCCAGTCTCATCATTCATGTGTGGTTCAGCAAGTTTGGGACCACCCTAACCAGTTTCACAAATTCCTTCTGTGCTTCATACAAAGTTATAATATGAAACTTCTTTCCTTGGGGTTCATTGTCCCAGTAAGAACCACAGAGCTTGGGATAGTATAAAGGACTTACTAGAATGCTATGTCAAAAAATTGGGAATGCTTGCATTTCAATACACTGAGTACTTGATTTCTAATAATATGCTTATTTTTATTTTTTTAAAAATATATATATTTTATTTATTTATTTATTTATTTATTTATTTATTTTTACAGAGAAGAAGGGAAAGGGATAGAGTTAGAAACATTGATGAGAGAGGGTGGCTCTACTGGAGATGTGCCTGCAACCAAAGTACATGCCCTTGACCGGAATTGAACCTGGGACCCTTCAGTCTGCAGACCAATGCTCTATCCACTGAGCCAAAGGGGTTAAGACAACATACTTACTTTTAAAGATGCTCTACTAGAATACTGTTTCATTTTATTTTATAAATCCTAGCGGGACATCAGTGACAAGTCTATTGGTGTGAGCCTGTCACCAGCTTTAAGAAGGTCAGTACCTTTCAATTAGTGCCAGTTGTCTTGAATAGACCTTAATTGGCTTTTAGGCCCAAACGCACTTGAACGCCTACCGCTGTCTTACTCGCAATAAAAATTCTGTCCAAAATCAGGTCGTATTTTCAAGGACTATATTGTGGCTCATTATAAATAATTTGGCCATATTATCCAAATTCTTTCAATAAAAGTCATAGGGAACTTTAACAGAAAGTTCCTGTAAGAAGAGCGAAATCAAAAAGTTCTGAATTACCCAGCAACATTAAAGAGAACATCAACTCTCTCGACTTCATTGGCAAACTGATCGATTTGTTTCTTCTTTGTGACATCAAGGACCCGTGTTTGGATACCTGAAAAATAAAACAGAAGACACCATTTCTCTATACCCATAAAAAAGATCTAGCCTCGGAGATTCAGCTATTTGGAAGTGTGAAGACTGCAGTATCTGCCCAACAATCATAGGATTGTTGATCATTAGAAGGGTCTTAAGAATCGCATTAGTAAAAATCTTCAAGTCCTTCCCAACTGGACCTCCCAATAACACACTTTCCTGGCTTTCTTCCTGTCTCGCCATTCTCTGAATTGATTAATAAAGGTGCTTGCCGAGCAACGACTTACAGTGAAGTATAAGTGATCTACGTCAGATGCTTCTCAGTAAGCAAGCAGTAATAACTGAATGTCGGCTTTGTTAGCCCCTTTTTTCCTCCGTGGTTGAGTCCCTACAATAGAAATTCTGAATTGTGTGTGTGCGGGGGAGGCAGAGAGGAAGGGCAGGGTTGTGGGAAAGACTTTTTATTTGTGAACTTTATTTTTATGTCAATTCCATTATTTATTGAAATGACTTTGTTGGTCAAAGGTAGCATGACTTATTTCTGGCCTAAACTGTAAGAAGAAATGAGAGGCCAGAGAAAGGATCTGGCCTTGAATGAGCAGGTGTAGGGTCTGTACTAGTTACTAGAGAAATACAAACGTTCTCTTAAGCAGCACTCATTATTGGTATTTTTTAAAAAACAACATATGGGTTATTTTGTTATTCTCTTTTAGATATAGGAAACAAAACATGAACAAACTAAGACAAGAAAAAATGGAATTGAGTTTCAGGAAGACTCCTTTCCCCCTTTGTACTTTTCCTGCACAAAAGCTCTACTTTGAGCTGTTGAAATGATACTTCAACATCGTCTGATTCAGCTAAATAATTCAATGACCTAATTTGTGTTTGATCACATAACCGTTCTGTTTTGATTTCTTTCAATCTTCTGTTCTGATTCCTTTCAGAATAATTCTAACTGAAGTTCTCCGATATCGGGGTGCAGTAAGGGCTGATATACACATAAATAATTTGGGTGCTCTCTTTGGGTTTCTGAACATGACCCGTGATTTTAGGCTGAGCTGTCTCCCACATGGAAGCCACTAGCTAGATGTGGCTATTGAAGCACTTGAAAGGCAGCTAATCTGAGCTGCAATGTGCTGTAAGTGTAAAACACACGTGGATTTCAAAGATTTAGTATGAAAAAAAGAATATAAAAATCACGCATTAATAATTTTTGATTATGTTACATGATATTTTAGCTATATTGAGTTAAATAAAATAGATTATTAAATGAACTTTCAACTGTTCCATTCTAATTTTTTAAATGCAGCCACCAGAAGACTTAAAACAGCACCTGTGGCTCACGTTCGGTGGCTATGGGACAGCACTGCCACTGGCAAAGGGGGGCCCAGAAGTGACGAGCTGTCATAAAAAGTTAGCAGCTGTTCCACTTTCACTCAGCATGTTCTTGTCAGGTCCCGAATCCTTCGACATGTTGGACACATAAACAATTTTAAGTCTGTATCTAAAGTTCCGTGTATACATTTAAGTGTGCAGATTTCTGCCTGTAGGTTCACAGAACGGAACTTTGATGGTTAGAGAGTCAGGCTCCAAAAGGAGGCCAGTGGACTGCGCGGCTAAGGCATTCTCTTTCAGCACCTGAGCACGGCTGCTTTCTAATCCCTGCAGACGCCGGATCCCAGGCCCAGGCGGCAGGGCTGCTTACCTGGGTACTTTTCCAGTTCCTGCAGCTTGGACTCATTGACATCTGTGGCGATGACTTTGGCACCTTCTCTTGCAAAAGCCTGGGAGACACAATACACAAACAGATGCTTTGTGTACTTGCTTAAGTTGCTCTCGTGAATGAAAAGTCATTAGGCCTTTTCTCCTTTAACTTATTTTCATTGTCTCCCCCCTTCCCTATAAAATAGGTGGAATATCAAACTAGTCTCACCTCACCCTTCCCATTGTTATTTTTATCATTAACTAGGACAACTGGACATATATTGTGCTTGTCATCTGACTTGGTCATATAAAATAAATCAGTGTTACCCCCCCACCAACTAGGATTCAGTTATTAACACCTCTCAAAATATGATTCTGTGATTTGATAGTCTGTACTCCATTTCTGAGCATGTTCTTATTATATTCAATTTCTTATTACATTCCAAATAATAAGAGGAAAATGGGTTATTTCAACATTTTCCTCTCAAAAGCATACACCGCTGTTTTCATAAATGTGAAACCACACGCTGCCATTATGCTAAAAGTGCGTGATTAGCTCAGGAGTGGGGTAGAGTGTGGAAGGTTTGATATAAACGAGAGGGTGGAGGTGACCTGACAGCATGAACTCTGATGTCCTTTATCTGAAACGATATGATTTCAGAAAGCTATGCGCTCCCTAGGGCCCGGGTGCAACGAAACCGAGATGGAGGAGTAAGTTTCCCAGAATCACAGGTTATCTGTAATGTCACATAGCAAACTTATGAGGTATTCCCTCATCTGACTGGGGTCAGAAGTAGCAACTTTTCTTTTTGTAACCTTAGACAATAGAAGCACAAACATTAAAAAAAAAAAAAAAAAAAAAAAAAAAAAAAAAAAGGAGAGCAGAAGAAGCTAAACGTGGAATCTGTCCACACAATTCAGTACTTCAACGGTTAGTGAGCAAACAGCACAAGACGGAACTTACGATGGCGGCTGCCCGGCCGATCCCCTGAGCAGCTGCTGTCAGGATGATGACTTTCTTATCCAGTCGCCCCATAATGGAACCTGTGGTGGAATCTAAAGTCAAGTTCATGTTCTGGTGGCCTAGTGGTCAGTTACCTGGGTCTTGGTCAGTTACTGGGTCTGGCCCTGTGCCAGCAGCAACATCTAGAACGAATGGCTCAATGTGCACCTTTAAGAATTTGAAGACAGCACCTCCATACCAAGAGCCCATCATCTGAATGCTTATTACTCTACTAGAGGCCTGGAGCATGAAATGCATACATGAGAGAGGGTGTCCCTCAGCCCAGCCTGCACCCTCTCCAATCTGGGACCCACCCCTTTGAGGGATGTCCAACTGCCCATTTAGGCCCAATCCTACCAGTCCTGGATTGTGATAGGGATGTCCTACCAGGATCAGGCCTAAATAGGCAGTTGGACATCCTTATCACAATCCAGGACTACTGGCTCCCAACTGCTTGCCTGCCTGCCTGCCTGATTGCCCTAACTGCTTCTGCCTGATCACCCTCTAACCACTTCCCTGCCAGCCTGATTGATGCCTAACTGCTCCCCTGCCAGCCCGATTGCCCCTAATTGCCTTCCCCTGCAGGCCTGGGTCCCCTCCAACTTTCCTTCCCTGCAGGCCAGGTCGCCCTCAACTTCCCTCCTTTGCCGGCCTGGTCACCCCTAACTGCCCTTCCCTGCAAACTTGACCTCACCCAACTGTCCTCCCTCACAGGCCTGGTCCCTCCCAACTACCCTCTCCTGCTGGCCTGATCACCCACAACTGCCTTCCCTTGCAGACCTGTTCCCTCCCAACTGCCTTCCCCTGCTGGCCATATTGTGACAGCCACCTTGTGTCCACATGGGGGCAGCCATCTTGTGTGGCAGCTGCCCAGTCTATTTGCATATTACTCTTTTATTAGATAGGATACCTAGCTGTGTATATCAAACACGTTTAGCATAACCCACTGAAGTGCTAACTGAGGCAGACATTGGACTTGTACCTACCTTTCATTTCTTCAGTACCTGAGAAGAGGGCTCTGATGGGACCCAGCAGGTCTTTCCCTTCACTACTTCCCGCTCTCTCCCTGCCCCTGCACACGCTGCGGCAGCTTCCTATGTGCCCTCCCTATCAGGCTTCTCCTTGCTTTCTCTCCTGGAAACCCTGGTCAGGGTTTGCACATCAATCACCTGAGGTTTATCCTTGTCCCTAAGAAAGATGCCACCGTTGGCCTCAGAGACTCATTGAACATAAGAACTGGAAAAATCAAATCATATCCAATACTCCCACTTTACAGATGAAGAGCCTGACCCGGACTGCTCAAGGTCAAGGAGCTGGTCAATAGCAAAGCCAGCACTAACCTCAGGCCTCCTGACTCTCCTGCTTATATGGGCATTCTGCCCACAACACTGCTGGTCCTCTTTGAAAGTTTAAGCATGCAGCAGTGACGCTTTAACAGACAGTCGGTAATGTTTAAACAGAGGACTGAGACATTCTGACATAGGGGAGATAAGATGTGCATGAGCTATTTTATTTGGCCGGTGCTTGCACTGCAGATCTTATGAGAGAGGAGTGGCTGGGGATGAGCTGGGGGTGGTTCAGGGTCAGATGCTAATTAAATGAGGTCATCTTCCAGGAACCCGGTTCCTTCTCTTACCCTGCCATCGTTAATGCGTGCCTCTCACCTCACCCCGAGTAACAGAATGGCTATGATCCAAGCAAGGCATCATATAGACATGCCAGGCAGAAACAAACAAAAAGGTGGTGGTGGTGGTGGTGAAGAACGAGGTGGGTGTTGAGCGAACCAATTTAAGTAGTACATGAATAACCAACTGAAACAGTCTGCTCGATTACTTGCCTGATCAAGTACAGGTAGCTAGCTAGTCTTGCCTGGAGGGCTCACATGACCTATTCCTTTCTTTTTTTTTTCTTTTTTTTAAAAAATATTTTATCGATTTTTTACAGAGAGGAAGGGAGATAGAGAGCTAGAAACATTGATGAGAAACATCAACCAGCTGCCTCTTGCACACCCCCTACTGGGGATGTGCCCGCAACCAAGATACATGCCCTTGTCCGGAATCGAACCCGGGACCTTTCAGTCCGCAGCCCGACGCTCTTCCACTGAGCCAAACCAGCTTCGGCTCCTTTCTTTTTGAACTTATCTTGTTCTCTTCAGCCCTGCGTGACTTCAGACTGCACTCAATGGACACTTCCACTTCAAGCCTTCATTCAGCCTTTGTCCAAGCCCTACGGAATGAGGGGCTGGCTGCTCCTGTGGGCCATGGGCACTGACACGATCTGATATGTATTTTAGAAAGATCCCCATGGAGGACAGAAGGTGGCTGTGAGAAGGGGTGGCGACGAGACCTAGCTTGGCCACCAATCCGCTCACTGCCAAGGGATTCTGTGCTTTGCCCACTGTTTCCAAACTATGAATTCAAACCCAGGCTGGATTGCAGGGAAGAACTGGTTCATGTTTTTCTTCCCTTGGTTCTCCCACACATCCTGCAAACCCCATGCACAGCCAGGGCCTTGTCAGTTACTGGGGCCGTCTGACCCCGGATCCCAGTAACCCAGTAACAAGTCTGCACTTGCTTTTTGTTTTTCCTTATTACACAAGTGATACATTTTCACTTTAAACACGAAAAGAGTTAAGAGCGATAGTCAATGTATACTTTAGAGAGTGAGAGATTCCAACAATCTGTTCCCCCGCTCCAATCCGGGGCAGGTGTGTTACAAAGCTGTTAGTTCACACTCTTGCCATTAGTGACACCTGACACGTGGCACTGCCCGGGCACAGCCAAAGGTTCCCCTGTGACACCTGAGAGGCAGGGCTGGAGCTGCTGAACACAGAGCGCCCTTTCCCTCCCGCTGAGAGCTGGCCCCTCGCTGGCGTTCTGGGGCCAGATTTAGGATCCAAAGGCTCCCTAGTAGACACACCTGCACTATCAAACGAAAACGGACTTATTAAGGAAAATGAGTGCAAACATGGCCTGAAATGGTAACACGAGGCAACTTTCAATACATCCAACGTGAGAACCACACAGGATGTCTTTCTTTCTCTAAATAATGGAATCAAAATGTTAACTTCCGACGAGCACAGACACAAACAGAGCATTGTGACGAACTCTTATCTATATGAGTCAGGAAGAAAAATGTTCACGTTAGACACTGTAAAATCCTCCTTTCTTTGGCTATTTTGAAAAACTTACTAAAATACCAGAGTTTCAAACTCGCTAAAAAACCCACCCTTATCCTGATCTAATTGCTAAAATTAACCCTGAAATAAGTAATGTGCAGGGAAAAAAGGAACATCTAAAAATTCCACCTCCCCCTTTCCCAAAGTTTCTTTTAAAATACTTTGGAGAATCTTACGTTAGAGCAGCAAACGGATGGCGTCCTCCCGATCACTCAGCCAGCAATTGAGACCTTTGTGCAGAAGCAAGTCAGGCGCTTAACGGTGCATGCTGGGGTTTGTAGTTCAGGTCCCTTCAGTTTTTAAGAGGAGTCTCACATTCATGCTGTAAATGTGTGCGTGCTGCCTCCTAGTGGACCTTAGTTGGAACTGTTAAGTCCAAGAAGAAGGTGAAAAGTGGAAAGCTTTTTACAGTTTTCTTGGGATGTGGAAATCATTTCCTTCACTTTAAGATTAATCTAAGTCCTTGTCGTTTGTTTGCACCTACTATGTGCTGTTCTGAGGTTCTCAAGATTGAATAAGCCTCGGCCCAGTCTCCTAAGGGTCCCTGGTTGGATTTCTAATCAAGAGTAGCAGATGGGTTGCAGGTTCCATCCACAGTCGGGTCAGGGCTTATGTGGGAGACAACCAATCGATGTGTCTCTCTCACATGGATATTTCTCTCATCCCTCTCCCCCTCCCTCTCACTATTTAAAAATCAATGGAAAAAAATCCTTGGTGAGGATTAACAAAAATATTGAGCCAGAAATTGCCTGTGGAAGATAGCAGCAACAAAATAGAAAGAACCAAGGTCATTGAAGATGCTGGAGCCTTCCTTCCTGGCCTTCAACTTAGATTGTGTGTGTATAAAATCACTGATCTGCTGCCTCCTGCACAGCCCACCCTGGGGATGGAGCCTGAAACCCGGGCATGTCCCCTGACTGGGAATCAAACCCTCACCTTTTGGTTCATAGTTCAATGCTCAATTACTGAGCCATGCTGGCCTAGTAGATTGTTTTGAGGGAGGGAAATAAAAGTTGTCTAGTGATGAAGGTATAGTTGTGGTTATCCTGTCACGCTCAGTTTATTCAAATCACTAATACGTGTTTAGTGGCAGAAGGCAGCCATCCTGACTACAGTGAGGGAAGAGGGTTTGGGATCTTCAGTAGAAGTACATGTTGGGTGAGAAAAAAATTGTAGCAGGAGAGAACAGATATCAAATAAAAAAGAAGGGACTAGGTCACATGGGCACTCTATGCTAGGCTTAATAACTCGAATATTACTGGGCAGAATGATTGTGTAGGCAATTTGTGCATGCACTATAGAAGTTGGCTTACTCAACACTCACCCCTCACTTTTCCATGCCTGATACTTTCTAAAGACCAGAAAGCAAAACTCTCAATTCCTGCTAGAGTTGGCTGGCCAATGAAATGTAGTCTGGAATTTCTGAGGGCTTCTCAGAGAGGTGAGGCTTCTCTGAAAGGCTTTTGACTTTTGCTCTCTCCCACCTCCCCCTTCTCCTGAAATGCAGCTATGATGTCTTGGGACACAGTAGCCACTTTGTGACTTGGCATGAGGTTAGAGGCACACGTTAAAGACAGGAAGGTAAGAAAAGGGACCTGGTTCCTTGAAGACAGCCTCAAGATAAGAGCCCTAGAGTAACTCCTCTGGAGTTTTCATGTGAGAAAAATAAATTTCTTCAGATTTCTTTTATCCTTTAGGTTTTTTGTTCTTGGAGCTAAGTGTGTTCATAACAGTCATAGTGGTTTAGAACACTATGGAGTTAGAAAGATGAAGGTAGGTTCCTATCTCTTCCTCAGTAGTTAAGTCACTTAGCTCCCAAACCTGCTTTCTCACCTGTGAAATGAAGGTAACCATAGCAGCTACCCCAGGGAAGGACTTAGCATGTAAAACCAGCAGCACAAAGTGTTCCATTTGAACTTAATGTTATCATTAAATAATGGTTAGCAAAAATTGTCCTTTAAAAAATTTAAAAAACCTGAGCTTAGTTTCTGCATGTGCCCACATGTGGTCTTTGCTAAAACTGTACCTGATTATCCCACTATTGTTCCTAATGTTGGGTCTAGTGATCTGCAACCATGTACAGCCATACTCCTTGCTTTTATGGTGACTTTCCTTTGATTTATGAGGATTTTGGGATAGATTTTTTTATGAGTATGAAAATTCTCTAATCAAGGCCAACTCCAACGCTTTTTAAAAAAATGTTCATGTGAGGATGTTTTCTATTGATTTTAGAAAGGAATGGAAAGAAACATCAATGTGAGAAACATCTGACTGGTTGCCTCTTTCTTGTACATGCTCTGAACTCACAACTTAGGTATGTGCCCTGAATGGGAATCAAACCCACAACTTTTTCATGTACAGGATGACACTCCAACCGAGCCACCTGTCAGGGCTCCAACACTTTTTTTGTTGTTAATCCTCACACAAGGATATTTCTTCCATTGATTTTTATGGAGTGGAAGGGTGGGAGAATAACATTGATACAAGAGACACATTGATTGACTCCCACTCAGGCCCTGACTGGGGCTAGGGATTGAACCTGCAACCCAGGTACGTGCCCTTGACCAGAAATCAAACCCGTGATCCATCCGTGTGTGTGTGTGTACACTGTAACCACTGAGCCACACCAGCCATAGTTCAAAATAAGTTTTAAAGAAGCTCCATGATCTACATGAAAACACAGACAACTAAGTGAAACCATTCAAATAAAACACGAAGAAAATAAGAAAATTAACAGAGATAGAAACTACAAAAAAAGAACCAAACAGAAATTCTGGAGCTGAGGAGATTGAAAAATACACTAGAGGGGCTCAACAGCGGAAGAATCGACAAAGTTGAAAACAGGACACTGGATGTTATCCAGTAAGAGGCAAAAAAGAAAAAAAAGTGAAGAGCCTAAGGTACTTATGAGACATCAGCAAGTGGACCAACATATGCACAGTGGAAATGCCAGAAGATAATGGTAAAAACTCCAAAAATCTGAGGAAGGCAATGGACATCCAAATTCAAGAGTCAAACAACATTCTACTAGACTGGAAACCTGATGACTGATTGTATTTTTAATGGCCTCAAGGTAGTTTTATTACACAGGTGTACTTACTAATTTGCATTACTTTTATTCAGTAGAGGAGCAGATATTGCAAAGAATGAAATCTGTACTCTTGTTTGGGTAAGTGTGGAAAGCTGAAACTACACTCCCAAGGTACAGACCTGGGGGAGAGGAGAGGATTTTAGGGACAATTTCTCCTTAGCCCTATAAATTGCTATGATAGTATGTTAAAGAAAAATATGCAATACATTGACTAAAAACGACAGCTATGATGTACTTCATAATTTCTTTCCTGGAAATGAATCTTACCAAAAAAGTTAAGAATAACTAACTCTGTACTGAACTTCATGTAACTTGTTTTGTCCCTTTCCAGTCATGTGATACAAAATATTGGACACTCTCTGAAATCATAGTCCTTGACCTCTTAGAGAGTCGAGTCATGAGTCCTTTGAGATGATGATAAAAGTATAAACCCAAGTCCCTAGAAAAATGAACCCACACACAAGCTGACCATTTCCCAGGTTATACAGATTGCATGAAGCTCATTCGCCAATGCCTTGAATACATGGGGTCTGAGGTTTAGAACACCGTATTTATTTATTTATTTATTAAATAAGTTTTTATTGTTCATATTATTACAAATGTTCCTTTTTTCCCCCCCACCATTGCTCTCCTCCACCAGGTTCCCACCCCATCCTCTGCCCTTTCCCCACTCCCCATTGTCCTCATCCATAGGTGCACAGTTTATGTTCAGTCTCTTCCCACGCCCCCCCTCTCCCCTTTTCCCCAAGAATCGTCAGTTCACTCTCCTTCCATACCTCTGATTCTATTATATTCAACAGTTACTATTGTTCATCAGATTTTTTTTTTTTAATTTCCTTGGTTTTTAGATTCACTTGTTGATAGTTACGTATTTGTTGTTGATAATTTTTATCTTTGTTTACTTTCTCTTCTGAAAGAACCCCCTTCAGCAATTCATATAATTCTGGTTTGGTGTTGATGAACTCCTTTAGCTTCTTTTTTATTAGTGAAGCTCTTTATCTGACCTTCGATTCTGAGTGATAGCTTTGCTGGATAGATTATCTTTGGCTGTAGGTTTTTACTATTCATCACCTTGAATATTTCTTGCCATTCCCTTCTGGCCTGCATGGTTTCTGTTGAGAAGTCAGCTGACAATTGTATAGGTGCTCCTTTATAGATTACTACCTTCTTTGCTCTTGCTTCTTTTAATATTCTCTTTGTCTTTTGCTCTTGCAATTTTAAGTATGATGTGTCTTGGTGTGGTCTTTTTTGGATTCCTTTTGTTTGGAGTTCTGTGCGCTTCCTGGACTTGTAAGTCTAATTCTTTCACCAGTGGGGGAAGTTTTCTGTCACTATTTCTTTCAATATGTTTTCGGTATCTTGCTCTCTCTTATCTTCTGGGACCGCCATAATTCTGATGTTGGTTCGCTTGAAGTTGTCCCAGAGGTTTCTTACATTATCTTCAATTTTCTGGATTCTCTTGCCTTCTAGCTTCTGTGGAGGAGTGTCTTCTGGCTCTGTATGTTCCAAATCTTTGACTTGATTCTTGTGATCTTCCATTCTGTTTTTAGGACTCTGTATAACATTTTTTATTTCAGAGAATGTATTTTTTATTTCTTGTTGATCCCTTATCATTTCTTGTTGATCCTTTATCATTTCTTGATGACTCCTTATTAATTCTAGTTGATCTCTTTTCATATCCTCATAGGTCTTATCCATCTTTTCTAGGAAATTCTTGAAAAACCTTATTAAGCGTAGATTTGAACTCTATATCCAGACGCTTTTTGTCCTCCATTTCTTTCGTTTGTGATCTATTTTGTTGTTGCATTTCGCAGTTACAGATGGGACGTGGTTTCAGGGTGGAGCCTGCAGCTTTGGCTTTCTAGAACACCGTATTTAGACGTTTTTTAGTTACTATAGTAAAAAGAAGATTAAGACTAGAAAATAAAAAAAGGTCATAGCACCTACTATCCCATAGCAATTTAAATCCAGAAAGCATGTGCATATTTTTTTCCTAGCAATTACATCATTTAAAAATATTTTTATTATTGACAGTATTCCAGAGGACCCCCATCCTCCCCTCCATCCTCCTCCCCCGCCAGCCCCTCCCCATCCAGGCCTTCACATCCCTACTGCGTGTCCATGGGATATCAGTTCTCTGGCGTATCTCTTCCTTCCCC